CGCCTGCCCCCCAAAGGCAAGGCGGTAACCCCGGAAGCAGATCTTTCTCCTCCCTTAATGAAAATTTTATGCCCCCCACCAAAAGAACGAAAGCCGACAGAGGCTCTCCCCCCGCACCCCCCCCCGCACCCACGGCGCCCGCGCGCTTTGCTGCCTCCCTCCGCCTGCTCATGTGCTTCCTTACCTGCCCTGGCGCCTCCACCGCCTCCATACTTTTGACAATTCCATCACGTCTGCCACGCCGAAGCCAATCAGCGTCTCGAATCTGGAACCAGGAAGCCCAATGGCCGCTGGGATTTGTGGTCCAGTTGGCTTCCCTCCAGAATGGAACGGAGTCGCTTCTGGGACTCGTAGTCTTCCTGTCCTTTCAGAGCTCAGTGTTTCTCAGTCTCAGCTACATTATGCTGCCTGGGGGAATTCTGGGAGTTGAAGTCCACCCCTCTTAATGTGGCCGAGATTGAGAAACACTGCACTAACTGAAACTTTAATCCTCACTCTGGACTCTGCATCCAAACCACTGCATCCATTTTGCCAGCACCCACCTGGAATCGTTCCTAAGGTCACATTCAGCACCATGCTGAGTAGGGCAAAGGCTCCCTGAAGATCTGCAGCCATCCAGCTTTGGAGACCAATGAGCAAGCCATAAAGGTGAAGGCGAGTGCCCCCCTCCACCATGTTTTATTTATATAGCAGGCATTCAGATACACTGTTCCTGAACATGGAGGCTCAGTTTAGGCATCATGCCTCTACAGTTATATTTTTCATGCAAGGGAGTGTCTGAAGCACACACTAATAAGGGTGTGCCCCACGCCAGTGCTACTTACTTTTGTGAAAATGTGCCATCAGTTGCCCTCCATGGATAAACTGAACTTTAACTTCCATAATTCCAAATCAGCCTAGCCAAAATTTCTTTGACATTACCGCATAGCATTTAACTTTTCTGACAAATGCACTGGAGCTTATTCATTACAAATAAAATGGTATATTTGGTGGTGGTGGTAGCGGTTGCTATATTACGTCTTTTGTGATTTTCATGCCACTAAAATTATAGAATATAACAGGCCTAGTTAAATTAAATCTACTGACACCCAAACTGACACTTAGTCATTAAG